AACAACATTATCACAATATTTTATGCGATTAAGTTTTACCAATTGTTCTTTATTATTTAGTATAATGATTGATAATGGTAATTTTTTTTCAACACCATCTAGTTTTTTAGTCATTTGAAACATTTTGTAAATCTCTAAGCCTTGTCTGTTTAGATCGGCCTGAATGTCTTCGATAGGATAGTCCGGGGGCATGCCTTTTAATACCACTTTAGGCTTAATCTCATGTTTAGGAGTATAGGTATGGAAGTTATGATTAAGTAATTTAAGTTCATTTTTGACGTTTATGAAATCTTCATTATTATGTACATAAAAAATAGTTTTATTTCCACCGTATTTGATATTTATATCTTTTACTGAATTTTTAAGTTTTGTAATTATTTCCTTGTGATTTGAGAAAGAGGAATTAACTACTATTGGGGGAAATCGTTGTAAGTCAGGATTTTTATTAGTTTGGACAGAGATCTCTTCATCTTCTTCCTCATCGGAAAAAACCGAGTAACTATTTTTAATAGGAATGTTATATAAGGTTGACCCTCTTCTTCTTTTCGGAGCTAAATTTGTCTGTCCATCTTTTTTTGAAGTGCTAGAAGTTTCTTCTTCGTCTTCCATGTTCACTTTGCTCCCCAGAAGGGCATTCTTACTTGAAAAATTGTTACCGACAATAATATGAAAGTTCTAGGTTTATCACTATTAAATAAAACCGTATTATAAATAATATTAACTAAAAACTGAAATAAAATTAAAACGAAACAAAACAATTAACGCAGGTTATAGTGTCTTTACTCGGCGGCTGCTAGAGTTAGACTGAGATACGCATATAACCCAGTATTACACCAAGTTGAAGTGGCTCTATCCATCCAACCGCCGTATGTACTTCCTTGCCACTTTTCTATACCAAGTCATCAGAACTCAGCGGCCTTCCTATATTTTTCACAACCTACAATTCAAATATTCCATTCAATCCCGTTTCACTAGATCTCGTACCTCCGACCTCTATCCACCTCCCCACCGAACTGCAGCGTTTGACAAATCCTTTATAATTCAAGCCGTCTCCTTCTGGAATACCATCCCTCCCAATATCCGACATGTACAATCAGTTTCCTCATTTAAATCTCTCCTTTTTAACCACCTACGCCTTTCCCAACTCGATTGATCATGAAATGTAGATAAGAGAACTTTTAAAGTTCCCCCAGAAATTATTTTCTTTACTTATGCTATTTTATTTTATTATATAGTTTGTATTATACATATCAGAATGTTTTTAGTGTAATAGTTATATTTTTTGTTTTATTATTTTTTCAAAATCTTAATCTTAATAATAAATGTAAATAATTAATTTTATGTATAGCCACACAGACATTTATTCTGTATCTGTAATTTGTCCTAAAGGGACAACAGTCCCAGGATAATAAAAAAATATTTTCATTTCATTTCATTTCAATAATATAAATTTATAAATTATTTTGCTCAAAAATTAAAACTCATTGGTTTTTCGACACTTCATTACTTTCCACGACCTTATAAGGTGAATATTTACTTTTCTAAAATCTTTAGCTTTACAACGGTATTTCATAAATCTATACTGCTACTCTTATTTTCGGATAATTTTTATCTTGAATTTGTTTGGATACCTGAGAAAGTATTTTTCATTTGTCTTATTTTTATGTTTGTTTATTACCCCTCACAATGAAAGGCCTTAAATTATTTCTAATAAAAAATAATTTAAGGTACTTTAGAAGAACAAATTTTGAAAATTCAGCATTCAAACCCAATCAGACGCGTATACCATATATATGGGCATGTTTTATCGTTATTCCCTTGTATAAATGGTCCATTTAATTATATTAGGGTTTCGCAATAATTTCTTCTTTTTTTTTTTAATGTGAAATCAATAGACGATATTTTTTGTTTAAGGTTGATTTACTGAGTTATATCCGTTCTGCTCTATCACATTCTTCCATCACTCAGGAAGGCTCATTAGGCCCTCTTTTGAAAAATTGTTGAGACTTTATTTTTTTATTTTATAGTATATTTGCAACTGCGTTTTTTGACGCATCTAGCAAATGTGCTGTCGTTCTTTTTCTCTGCTATTTCTTGAAAATTTGTTCATATTGTGAGCAGATCCCGAGGCTACTGTCTTAGTCTTCTTTGAGTCTCCCCTGGTAACAAAGAGGAAGAAAGAGAGAGGACAAGTGGATAAGGGTGATTAAAAGTTGAAGTGTGGAATGCGGTGTATTTTTTACTGTTCGAATGTCCATGTCGCTATGTATGGTGTGATTTGTAATATACTAGCGCGCATTTACGATTTTTCGGACAATTTCGGACTGTGCAGTTTGTATTTAGTTTGTGTGGACGTGTTTTGCGAAAACCCAAAGTTCTGTTCCGTATGTCCAAATAGGTCGTAGTATGGTGGTGTAGATTAGTCGCCTATTTTGTAAGTTGAAAGGAGATCTGCAGTCCAAAAGATGTAACAGTTGTTTGCATCGTCTGGTCAGTTTTTTTTTTTTAATTTGGTGTTTATGTTCCAGGTGAGTTTTTTGTCCAAGTACAGTCCGAGATATCGTACATGACTTTTTGAGGGTACTGGCTTGTTGTCTATTGAAACAGTAGGGCACGAAATCTTTCCCAGGAAGAAGCTAACATGAGTCGACTTGCCGCCATTAACTTTGATTCCTCATTTTTCGAACCATTTTTCTAGGTCGTGGAGGTGATTTTGGAGGGCAGCTGAAGCAATAGTTGGATTTCTGTTGGATGAAATAATTTCCGTGTCTTCAGCGAAACTATAGAGGGTGCTAGAGTGCTCGGGAACATCAAATGTGTAGAGAGAAAAGAGAAGAGGACTTAAAACACTACCTTGTGGTACGCCCACACGTTGAGGGGAAAAGCAAGAAATAGAGGAATCTACAGATATATAGAAGAACTGTCGAGAAAGAAAGATTGAAGAAGAAGGAATGTACGGTTTTATTTTCCACAATAGACCTTTGTGCCAGACGCTATCAAACGCTTTCTCAATGTAGTATTCTTTTTTCTTGAAGGTGACTGAGATAGCACTATACGTTTTGAGCAGTATGCTGTAAGATGTGATCCTGCGCACTTGACTTATTAAGTCTGCAATAACCTTTTGTGTGGCCATAAGCTTGGCATCTTTGATATTGTGGTGGTTCTTTTTGCATGTACGGTTATTCTATTCTTATTTTTTGGGTAAAACAGATATTCGAGTAGAATATCTCCTGATTTTTTGGATTTTGTTCTAAGTCAATAAAAAATATCGGTAAGGGAAATTTAGTTTTAGGGTGTTGTGCATTGGTGATATTTTTAACATTGTATCCTTGTTCATTGAGTTCAATTTTTTTGTTTTCAGTTGGTGTGGTATGGTGGAGATTTCTAATAATAATACGAAAAGGTTTTTCTTCTTGGAGCTGGTATGTATGGAATTGAGCATTTTGGATTTGTAGTAGTTTAATAATTTTACGATAGTAATCTGAAGTTGTCGGGGGGATAATTGTTTGATTTATGTTGTAACGGCAATAAAATCCCCGAGGACCAACTTCGGATTCCAAGCTTTGACATAAATTTTTGAAATTTTGAACAGATTTAACATGAATAGGAGGAGAGTTTGAAGTTGCACAAGGTTTGTCTTGATTGCTAGAATTAGATATGGGTTGGGATGTGGTTTCGATAGATGGCATTATTGATTTCTGTACGATCCCTTTCTTAGAAGATTCTAGATTATCTGCTTTAGTAAGTTTTACAAAAGCAGGAGCTCATTTTTTAGTTTGCCAAAAAAAACTAAAATTTTAAATAAAACAATTTTTAAAATTTTTTTTAAATTTTACAATTTTTTATTTTTGTGTTTAAGTCATCCTAAAAATCTTTTGGTGATTTGTTAGATGAAGATTGATATCTTTTCTATAAAACAATTTAACTCCTTTATTTAGTAGTCTATATATTAATCTTGTATATATCTAACCTTTTGTATCTGGAAATTAGAATTTCGTATTAGGAAAAATGACTCTTCAAGCTTAGTATCGGGCCTATCAACACTTCCATATCAAAGTTTAACTTGGCTTCAGTCTTTTTACCGCAGGAAAGCTTGTTTCAAATATCGATCAAATTTTATGTTGTTCTGCTATTCAATCAATCTTATATCATATCACATGAGACTTACTTGCAAAATATTCATCGAGTTGCGTTTTTATTTTGCAGAGAGAATTTTTTAACGAGAGAAACAAGTAATAATTGGTAACAAGTAATATATTGGTAATAAGTTATTAGGAATAATTGGTAACAAGTAATATATCAAAAAAAGATTTTGTACTCAAAATTGACGTCTTTATCACTTGATTTACAATAATTTTGTCTAGCTAAACCCTTTAATTTAAATATTTACTTCCCTTAATTAAGAAACTCTTTTACCGAATTAAATGAAGTTTAGAGAGTCGGTAATGAGTAAACAACACGTCAAAAAGGTGATATGTTATAATCGGAGTTCATTTAAGTTTTTTGAGAACCTACATTATCTATATAAACCTAATTAATTTTTTTATTCAATTTCTAATCACATTTTTTGACACAGATCCTTTTAAAATAAAACAATAACTATCTACATAGATAAAAAAAAACACTCTCCTTCTACCCTATATAACGTCGAAATCGGATTAACTGAAAACGAGTGTTTTTTTAAGTAGATCCATAAAATGATATCAACTTATCTTTTTAAACTGAATATATAAAATAAAGCAGCTTCAGAGTGTTATATATACTTTTTCCCTCAGCTCCCCATTGGCCCATTGGAAAGTTGCAAATGCGTGTTGATATATAGACTCACCAGAAAAATGTTGATCGGTTACTTACACACTATGTACTATCCTTGATTTCTAAACGAATCTTACCCCCAACACTCACAGAGCGTTGGATAGTATTACATGAATAAAATACAGATTTAACGTCTAAGAATAAATTCTAATCGGACTAAGATCGACTTGTCATTATTTGCTTACAACATCCTGTAAAAATTCCGTTAAAATCTGGGCTCCATCTTCTATAATGAAATGTTTATGGTAGTTATTAAATTCAGGCAGTCTTGAAACCCTCAGAATTGTTTCTAATAGGCGGTATGCTCCACACCGTACTTTAGACCTTCTATGTCTTAAATAGTGGAGCACAGGTTCAAAACTGAAATCTGGTAACTGAGTGACCGTTTGGTAAGCTAGGGGATGACACTGCATATTAGTGAATACCTGAAACAAACGTTAAAAATATCATAAGAATGTATAATTATTTAATTAAGAATAAATTAATCCTAATTTATAAATACACATTTATCAGTAATAATATATGTAAATATGTTAGTTTTATACTCTTTTTTTTTTTAATATGTGTAATATAGTCATACTGACAAAATAAATATTAACCAGTGAATCAGCCAGTCTCTCTCAAAAGGCATGCTTTCGTCTAAGATATTGTTACACCCACACTCTGTTGAACACACTTGGCAAGAGGGTGAGAAAAAAAATCCATTTGATAAATTATCTATATTAATAATTTGATACATAATTTCATCTAATTTTGGAATATTTGTTGCATCGCATGCTAATAATTATACAAATAGACAAATACAAAACGGTTCAGGCACTTTTTATCATCTATTATTCAACCGAATTTCTTCCTTATGTTTTTGTTTAATCGCTATTGACGAGCTTTAGTGTTATCATCAAATAAAAATATGAAACAGTGTATATAAATAAAAATATAAATGATAGTTTGTTCAAAACAGCTAATCTTCGAAAGGTCTTCACCGATTTCTTTGAAATGTTGATACAACGTCGCAATCAGATTTAGGAGTGTTTGTGTATGCATTTTATTATCATCCGACCTTTCCTTTCGAAATGGCGGCCGAAAATCGTGATTCGCTTTTGACTGTAGCGCCCAAGTCTCCCCCTTGAAACCTTTATAATTTATGTATGTAACATACTTTCCCGAAAACAAGCTACATATATTTCTACGATGAATTAAGAATTTTATTAGCGAATATCTCGAAAAGTGCACCATTTTTGATTGATAATACTAATATTTATTCAAAAGCTTCCTGAATTCCCGACAAAACAACGAAAAATCATTGAAATCGGACTATTTGGTGCAGAGATATCGTTTTAAACATTTAGTACTTTTTCTATTCCAGAGCCGATGTCCTTTATTTTGGTTTTTGATAAATCGAAAACATTACATTTACTGTGGTAATTGGGACTATTATCTGAAGATATGATATTTAATGTTATTGGAATGTCACCTCATAAATTTTTTTTTTTTTTTTTTATTATTTCAATGGAATTTACAACTGTATTACATAGAGAATACAATAAGTAAATGAGAAATTTGTAACATGGCATGTACAACATGAAGAGAAACTACCCATTGGTAGAACTCAAATTAAAGTTCTATATTAGAAGATCCCGAGGCCATCTTCTTTTCAGACGCCTCGGAGGGTTATCAGGGATCGAGGAGGAAGCAAGGTTTGAAACGAGAGGATTCGGATGATTCTGCAGTTTGTTATGGAAGGAAAGGTATCTGGATTGGGCCAGATCGGAAACATATGGAACATTAAGGTCTTTATGGGTGATTTTATTTGTGACAAAGTAAGGAGCGTTGAGGATTTTACGAAGGATTTTGGATTGTAAGGATTGGATACGAGAGAAATTCGATGGTTTAGTGGAGCCCCAAAGCTCAATTCCGTAAGTCCAAATAGATCTTATTATTGTCATATATACGAGTCGTTTATAATTGATTGAAAGCTTAGATCGTTTGTCTAGTAAGTGCTGCAGTAGTCGAAAACGTCGGGCGGTTTCTAGTCGTTTCAGTCTGGTATGGGGGTTCCAAGTGAGTCGTTTGTCAAGGTGGAGTCCTAAGTAGCGGATTTGCTCAACAGGAATAAGTGGAGTATTATTGAAGGATACTGTAGGACAAGAGATCATAGGTTTACGACGGAGGGTAAAAGTGATTTGATGGGATTTGTTGGAATTTATTTTTATTCTCCAATTTTTACACCATTCTTCAAGGCTTGTGATATGTGATTGAAGAGTTTGGGATGCAATTAAAGGATCGTTATTAACTGATAGGATACACGTGTCATCGGCATAGGTGGTGATGACAGTGTTGGATTGGGTTGGGATGTCAGCTGTATAATCCTCATAAATTAAAGTTAAAAGTAAATTCTATAGTTATACTTATTCTTAATTTAAATACTACACAAGCTTCAGTTAATGGAACACGAATGAGAGTGAAGTACTAACGGGAGTTGCTGTAAGTAAAAGAATTTTAATTCCAAGAATTAATTTAACATTTTCTGGGACAATACTTCCAATCGAATTTCAAAGAACACAGTTCCTAGCAACTGCTGCATTTGCTATTACCTGAAACAAATCGCAAACTTTTGGAAAAATTTGATTATTATTGCGACGGCCAGTATTTTCGCATGGAGAATTATATGCTGCAGCAACTAGAGCTCGTTCGTTTAAAACTTTTAAATTTAAATTCCCAATGGCATTGGGCAAGGCTTCTTACTAAACAATAAAAAACATTCACAAAGGGCATTGTTTACAGAGAAGTTCTATTGATTTTAGCTGAATTGAAATTGCTATTTTTTTTTATTTTTTTTATTTAGTGAAATTTACAACTGTATAAACATTACAACTAGTAAAACTGCTCACATTAGAAATAATGACATGAAAAGACTTGAAGAGATACTGCCCAGTGGTAGCACTCCCAATTTAATTCTAGGTGAGAAGATCACGAGACAATCTTCTTTTCAGACACCTAGGGGAATTATCAGGAATCGAGGAAGAAGCAAGGGTGGACACAAGTGGATCCGGATGGAGCTGGAGTTTATCATGAAAGGACAGATATCTGGCTCGGGCTAAATCAGCGGCATATGGAACATTAAGGTCTTTATGAATGGTTTTATGTGTGACAAAATATAGGGCATTAAGGATTTTACGAAGGATTTTGGAATGTAAGGATTGGATACGATAGGAATTCGATGGTTTGGTAGAACCCCACAGCTCAACTGTTCATATAGATCTTATTATGGTTAAGTTGATGAGTCTTTTGTAATTAAATGAAAGTTTAGAGCGTTTGTCTGAAGTGTTGGAGCAGTCGGAAACGTCGAAATTGCTCATTTAATATTTTTTTTACTTGCATTGTCTTAACATTAATTTATTGTGATAATAACATACATAAATCAAAATGGAAATTAAATATTTTTGAATGAGTCTATTTTGTATTACTTATAAATATTTTTAAGTAGTAAGCTCGATTTTTAATTTATTATTATTATTTATTTATTTATATGATATTTACAACTGTATAAAAAAAATACATCTGGTAAATTCGCACATGGATATAATGACATGGAACACATGTTGAAAAACTACCCATTGGTAGCACTCTAATAATATGTCTATATTAGAAGATCACGTGGCCATCTTCTTTTCAGACGCCTCAGAGGGTTATTAGGAATCGAATAGGAAGCAAGGTTAGAGACAAGAGGGTTGGGATGGTTATGAAGTTTATTATGGAAGGACAGATATCTGGATTGGGCCAAATCTGATACATAAGGAACATTAAAGTCATTATGGATAATTTTATTTGTAACAAAGTAAGGAGCATTGATGATTTTACGAAGGATTTTGGATTGTAAGGATTGGATGCGAGAGGAATTTGAAGGTTTGGTGGAGCCCCCGATTTTTAATTGAAATTGAAATTATGGCTATTATTGATCGTGTAATTTCATTTAATAGGACTTCAAAAATCACTTAAACGCCATTTCATATAGATAGTTAGTATCTTTCTTTTTTTCATAAGTAATTATCGTTATATATATGAAAAAAGAAAGCTTTCGGGCTGAAGCCCCCTCCCCAAATTAAATCCTGGATCCGCCAGTGACCTAAATCACTGTACATTTCATCAGTCTGAACATTAATCGAGTTTCTATATTTTGTTTCTTGGAAGGGTTGGAATATTATATATTCAATACACTAAATAACCGAACTTACTTGAAGGATTACTATAAAATTTATTTATCGGTGTTGGATAATTTACCAAAGAATTCATATTGAAAACATAAAAATTTTTTTTATTTGTTTTATTGTTATTATCTTTTTATTACTTTTTCATATTTTGTTGTAAAGTCCTGTCTATTTTATGACAATTGTGATCTTCTCTTAGTACATTGGCAAGAGATCGAGAAATGTTTAAATCAGACATTTTTCTGCTGTACCTGGGACAGTACCTAAAATTAAATAATTTAATAAAAAAAAAAAATCAAAAGCTAGTACTCACGTTCATAACTGCCAAAGGGACTTTGTATCTCAGTGTTCCACTAAGTGAATTGAATAAACCTTTTATATCAACGTTCTTGATGAGAAATCTGGTGAATTCAACATGATACAATTTTGTAAGGTTGGCTAATAAATTACCAATTAATGCTTTTGATGTCCAGTCACGGATCTGAAAAACAACGTTACTCAATAATAATAATATTATATTGCTTTAAATAAAACTTTTAAAAGTTTTATTTTTAATTGTTTCATAAAAAAAATAATCTTTTTATGTTTATATAATTTTACCAACTTCAAATATCTAAAAAGTATGATGATATAATAATATAGCCGTAGTTAGAAGTAGTTTAATTGCCACAACTTAAATTAAAAAACACTTATATAAGAAGTAAAATAAATATATTTATTCTGTAATTATTTATCACCTCAATTTCAAATTTTGAATCTTTCCTGTTTTATGGCACAATGTGAATACCAGAGTTAAATTAGCAATTTTTTTTTGGTATGCTCGGTGGAGAAATAATTGAGAAAAAAAAAAATCAATCCTTAATTAAGTAAAACTTATTTTAAAGAAAAGAAGTAACTAAAGTAATGTGGGGTAAAATCAAATTCGTCGTCAGATCCAAACCATGGACTATTAAGAGATGAATTATATAATATCATGAATTGTTAGTAAAAAATGTAATTAACGTTTTTTTTTTTTTTTTTTTTTTTTTTTTTTTTTTTTTTTTTTTTTTTTTTTTTTTTTTTTTTTTTTTTTTTTTTTGGTTATGCAGTTTATGCTTCAGCCCGCGCCCATCTTCTATTCACATTGTTGAGAAACCAACTTTGTATCTATCGGACAACAAATCTGAAAAAATCTGAAAACAGGACGCGATTTCATGAGTTTTAAAAAATACGGAAATTGCTTAACTCAATTCGATTTGGCCATATATACATAAAAATAAAATTCATAAATTATTTACACATAATTGTCCACATATTATATCAATAAGGATATATATAATGTCAAGGTTTTGTTCTCTGATAATACTGTTTACTATACGAGGCAAAAGACATATCTTGGATAAAGCACCAACGGCCATCCTCTGTATTGCTGTGAAATCAAATCTTTTCACGCATATTGTCAAGTTGTCGAGAAGGCCAACGGGCTTCGAAAAGGACTTTGCAAAATATTTTTTTCTTAAAGTTTTATTCATAGCTGCCAGTATCTAAAAAAGAAATATATAACCAAATTAGTTTTATTTGTTAATGAAATATGAAACAAATCAAACTGCTATATAATGAATGTATTATATAACGGCTGAATTGTTTTCAAACCAATATATTTAGTTATTAATAATTAATTAATTATTTTTTATATTAATAACGTTAAATTTATGACTGATCTGTAATCCATTACTCTTTAAAATAAAACAACACCATAAAACCCTCAATTTATGATATTTTTAACAACACCTATTGGGTACAATTTCGTTTGTCGAGCGCAAAAAAAAAAAAATGAAGCATTCCCTCAAATTTCTTACAACCATAAGGTTCTTTCTTACAACCAAGATAAACTACAGAATTTCAAAGTCAATCACAGGTACAATTTTGTTGATACCGATACTGGTGTAAACACTCAAAAAACCGAACGACTTTGGGGCAGTGCCAAATGGAGAAATAAAAAGTATTGGAGAACTTCTCGCTATCATTTGGAGTCGTACCTCGCTGAATTTATCTGGAGACGAGGACCCATTTGACCATATTATATAGGACATGAAAACCAATAATTATAAGCATTATTTTTGGATTAAACTGTTTTGTTTACAATTCAATAATATTTGTATATAGTTGGAATTGTTTAGCTTACTATTAATTAGTATTTGCTTATATTTGAACACTTCCGGTTTTTATTCCGTTGACTGTTTTGTCATTTGCTTTGCTTGGCGTCTTGGCTCGCGTTTGGTGTACAATTGGCGACATTTGCGCCCGGCTAACGGTATCCACTATTGTACTTAACTGGTGTTGGTTGGGGGATTCCAGTCAGAGAGAACATACAAATATCGGTTTTTCAGGGAAATAATGCTGAAATCAGGTTTAAAAATAAAATAAAAAAGATTTACAATTGTTTTATTTAATCGAAATAGCGTCCAATACTATCAAATATATTTCTGGCAACTTTTCCATTTCCTCGGAATAGAATTTCCCATCTTTATAAACTCTAAAGACCCATTTCCTAATTCACTTTGTCCAATAATTTTTTTGTCACGTAAGTAGTGATCCAGGTGTCTTAAAAATAATAATCCGCAGGCAAGAGGTCCGGAGAGTAGGGCGGATGTGTTAGAGTTTCATATCCAAGCTCCAACAGTTTGTGATGTCACTCGTGTGACACGTGGCCGGGCATGTGAGACATGTCGGTTTAAGAAGCTGTCGTGGATCAAACCAAATGAAGCCCACCAAACACTCACCTTTTTTATTGAGTTGGGGGCTTTGGAAAATGTTCTGCTGCTTCTCCTTTGTCGAGCAACTATCCAGAACATCTACTGCTACCGTAAAGTATCCACTTTTCATAACAAGTAGCAATTCTAAACAGAAAAGGGTCTTTTTGTTTCGGCGAAGAAGTGTAGCACAAAATTCATAGCGCTGTTGTTGTTTTTTTTGTTTTTTTTTGCGGGGGGAGGGTGGGTGGGGTTTAATGAGTCTGGAACCAAACTTCAAAGCTTTTTTACTTTTCCAATCGTCTTGAGATGGTCATCGACGGTCGATTTGCTAAGCTTAAGTTTCCCTGCAAGTTCTCGAACAGTTGTTTTGAGGTTTTCTACCACCAATACCCACAGAACATCGTCATCAAGAGAGGAAGTCCTTTGTTTTCAAGGCTGAACTCTCCCTCCCGAAAATTTTTCGAACCACCGTTGAACAATGCACTTATTGTTCATATATAAAAATTAATGCTGCTCCCACTCCAGACTTGATTGATGTTTCTGGCCGCCTGGGTCCCGTTTCGGCCAAGTTTAAACAAAATTATACGAAAATCGCACGTGGACATCTTAATAAAGGCTGAATTATTTCTAAGCAGCGAAATGCTACATAGGAAAATAAATATTATCGTTTGGAAGAGGATTAATAAGTGTTGATATTCATACAAATGAATAATCCAGTAAACGTAAACAGTTTGTTATATAGAGGGACATTTTAAATAAAACTCAATATCCAGCATTATTTTTCAGACAACCCAATAAAAAGAGAAAAAAAGATTATTTTGTGTCGATATTTCGCCTAAAGATATGATTTCAAATTCTCGTTTTCAGTTCCTCTTAAATGGAAGGTCGCCTCCTTTCTTTTTCCATATTGTTACTTAACTTATAAGAATCACTGTTTATAAAATCAGACGTATTCCTATTGATATCACTACACCTTATTAATTTATACTTACTCGTTTATGAAATTCTTATACTTAATATTTCATTCTCAACTTTTCATTATTATTATTTATTAATTTAGCATCAACATCAACAGCAACATCATTTCATTTATACTGAACTCATTATCCCATCAACTTAAAACAATTACCACATCATATTTATTTTATGTTCTAGTTTATTCTCCGATGCATTTATATTACTTAATTCCGATTTCACTTCTTTTTCATTTAATTGGTTATTAATCTATTTATTTCATTTCTTCTAATTGTTACTTTGCTACCTTTCACATTATTACTTTTCACCATAGGTTACTTATAGTTGCATATCTTACAACGGGCGTACATAAGGGAAGAGAGAGGGCCCGTTGTCCTCTCCTAAATATTTTGAAAGAAAATATAATATAATAAAAAAGATTTGTCGAAAGTCCAAGAAAAGTAATTTTTAAAAATTATTGTTCTATGTATATAGTGTGTTTCATATGGAAATATGTATTAATTGTAATAGCAATAAACTACTTAGAGTTAACATTATTAAGTATTGTAAATATGATTGTCGAAATGAAGTATTTTTAATGATTTACCTGAAACCTCTCTAAATTTTTATATGGCATTAAATGTTTAAGAAATGTATTGAGAGTCTGAGCTCGTCTTGTGACAATAAAACGAGGAAACATTATCTTCGCTCTATTAGGGTATTTGCTTTGAATAAATGCAATGGACAGTGGTGAATTTATTGTGAAATAGAGGGCTTGATCGTGCATTATTGGATAGATTGATTTCCATTCAGTAACTGACTCTATCATTACATATCGTGGAGTACCTCTAAACCATTCAAAACGCACTATTCCAATTCTGTTAACATTATAATGATCAAACATAATTCCCTCAACCATTTCCAAAAAAGCAGGGTCTGTGCAATAAAAGATACTTTCACTTTGCTCCGACAGATTTGTGAATGATTCGTAAATACTAGAGTCGGATGAGTTCTCACTTTTATCTTCTTCTTCATCATCGCCAAATAAACCTGGATCTTCTAAATTGTATTCTTTCCTAAAATTCAAAAATGCTTTTTGCAAAGCTACTTTATAGTGCGGATCATTTAAATCAATAATTTCTGGTTTTATAAAACCACTTTCCATTTCCTCACCAACTTTCATAAAGTTTACTTCTCCATCTTCTTCAAAACTTTCTTCCTCCGAGATGGAATATTCAATGCTAGGTTGTTTTACATTTAAGACGGATATAATCTGTACATAAATTTGACATTCTTCATTGAATAGACTGATTTCAAAGTCATCAATGTAATTGTCTTGCAAAGTACTCCAAATACCTTCCATTTTATTAACAGGAAGTTATTGCATTAGTTGTGAATAATCGACAAATAGTCTAACAAGGTGTTTCCTTGGATAATAACAATATATATTAAAATGTAATAGATATTTCTTTTACACTGGGTCTTTTTCAGAAGTTATCCAGTTTCCAAACCGTCCTATAAAATATGTATATATTTATACACATGTAAATTACTTAATGCAGTTACTGTGACTACCCAGCGGATACGAATGGAAATCTCACACCTTTTTTTCTGGAGGAAATGAAAATTGGCGGGCTTAGAGAAAAATATTGATAATTTTAGGGTAAAATACATGACTGACCTAGCAACTCTCTTAGTCTGTGGGCTAGACCCCCTCACCGTGCACCCAGTAAATATGCACTAAGTATTTAAAAAAAAGTGTTAAATTGCAAACGGTATAGTAAAAATTCAAGATCTTCAGCGAAATATTTTTCAATTAAGTTTTATTCTTATAATTATATCATTTGTACAATAGAAGCATTATTAAGCGATCTCCGTATAAAATAAAGGAAGTAAAATTAAAAAAAACAAACATTATAAAGAAAATTAAATAAAAAAATATTTTCATTTTTTTGGACAATTACATTATTGCATTAATATTTGTTCGTTAATACAATTTTTTTTTAAATTCACTTAACTGGTGTTTTTTGTTGCCTAAGCCAATTATTTTTAATATTGTTTCATGTTTTATTATTCTCTGACTATTCAGATTTAATAAAAGTCCAATTATGACAAAATTGAACCAAATGCTGATTTTCAGTGAACAAAAAACTAACTTTAGTCAAAGTCGCCAGTCCGCCATCTTTGGACGCCAGTTAGGGGTAGTGCGTTCACTATTTTTCGTGGGAACACTAGCTTTTTTTAAAAATAAATAGTTACAAGAAACACAACGATATGCAATTTATAGTGAAGTGGGGGGGGGGGTGCACGGTAGGGGGGTCTGCACCACCGTGTATGCCTGCACTGTGATCACAACTAGAGACACAATATCGATATTGTCATCCATAGAAATATCGGCCTGTAGCTATTGATATCATCAAAATATCGGACTTAAGTACCGATACTATCGAGAGTCGATGCTATAAATATTTTTTAACAATTTTGAAATATTAATATCAATATAAATATTCATTTTCTAGCACATAGGACATAATAAAAAAATATGTCATTTCCTCTTTAAATTAATTAATGACAATATCAATTCTTTTATCCTCCTTAATAAAATTAATTTATGGTTCTTGTGCATTTTCGTCGTCCTCAGCTTTTTCCATTCAACCAATTATCCCTTCCATCCACTCATAAATCGGATTCAGTGAAATGCTAATTTATTTGAACCCCACATACATTTTTTTGACAATTGATGGCCTTGATTTGAAAAGGTTCTAACTAAAAATTTTGGGCAAATTGAGTTTACACTCAGAAATCACTCACAACAAAGTTATCTATGTTCCAAATGAATGAATTTTAGTGCAGATCCCACTGTATAAGTTAATTCAACTCTACTACACACTATAATGTATATGAATGAATGAATGATAATAATTTTATTATTCTGGGACTAGTGTCCCTTTAGAGCAAGTTACAAATACAGAATATATATTAACATTCTGGTGTGTCCATAAAATAAAATTTAATATTTACAGGATGGTCAGGATTACAAAAAAATTATAGATATTAATTATAAATATTGATAATATTTATTGTACAGGTAGAACATACGAAGACCACATTTCTATCATAACCGAAATATTAAATATTAAATGACGCAGGCTTAAAAGTAAATGAAAGAAAGTGTGAATTTTTAAAAAGTAAGTTGGAGATTTTAGGATTTGTTCTGGATAAACAAGGAATTCATCCAGCAGAAAGTAAGGTCATTGCAGTCACGGGTGCTCCAAGGCCTAAAGATTGCAAACAATTAAGAAGTTTTCTTGGAATGGTGAATTATTATGAATCATTTCTGAAGCACAGAGCTGATAAACCGAGTTGTCTTTATGATTTCCTGGAGTCAGAAAAGTGGTAATGGTCCGAAGAATGTGAGGAAAGTTTCAAATGGCTCAAGAAGCAACTCGTGTCAGATAAGGTATTGACATTGTTTGATCCTAACGAGAGAGAATCACTTTATTATCATAAAAGGGTGCTGCCCAATTACATTGGGTTGCTTTAAACACAGCATACTTATTAATCGCTACAGACAATTTTCCAAAACTA